CAACAACTATTGGTGCAACAACAACAACTTTGGTATCCACAAGTAACCCTCCGACATCCTCAACTGTGGCACCAACATCGACAACTGATGCAGGAACAACAACTATGTCTGACACAACAACAACTGTTGGTGCAACAACAACAACTTTGGCATCCACAAGTAACCCTCCAACATCCTCAACTGTAGCACCAACATCGACAACTGATGCAGTAACCACGTCTATGTCTGACACAACAACAACTGTTGGTGCAACAACAACAACATTGGCTACAACAAGCAGCCATCAAACATATTCAACTTTATCACCAACTTTGACAACTGATGCAGTAACCATGTCTATGTCTGACACAACAACAACTGTTGGTGGAACAACAACAACAACTTTGGCATCCACAAGTAACCCTACAACATCCTCAACTGTAGCACCAACGTCGACAACTGATGCAGGAACAACAACTATGTCTGACACAACAACAACTGTTGGTGCTACAACAACAACAACAACGGCATCCACAAGTACCCTTCCAACATCCTCAACTGTAGCACTAACATCATCAACTGATGCAACAACTACAACTATGTATGACACCACAACAACTGTTGGTGCAACAACAACAACTTTGGCATCCACAAGTAACCCTCCAACATCCTCAACTGTAGCACCAACATCATCAACTGATGCAACAACTACAACTATGTATGACACCACAACAACTGTTGGTGCAACAACAACAATTTTGGCATCCACAAGTAACCCTCCGACATCCTCAACTGTGGCACCAACATCGACAACTGATGCAGGAACAACAACTATGTCTGACACAACAACAACTGTTGGTGCAACAACAACAAAAACAACTTTGGCATCCACAAGTAACCCTCCAACATCCTCAACTGTAGCACCAACATCGACAACTGATGCAGTAACCACGTCTATGTCTGACACAACAACAACTGTTGGTGCAACAACAACAACATTGGCTACAACAAGTAGCCCTCAAACATATTCAACTTTATCACCAACTTTGACAACTGATGCAGGAACCACGTCTATGTCTGACACCACAACAACTGTTGGTGCAACAACAACAACTACTTTGGCATCCACAAGTAACCCTCCAACATCCTCAACTGTAGCACCAATGTCGACAACTGATGCAGGAACAACAACTATGTCTGACACAACAACAACTGTTGGTGCAACAACAACAACTTTGGCATCCACAAGTAACCCTCTAACATCCTCAACTGTAGCACCAACGTCGACCACTGATGCAGTAACCACGTCTATGTCTGACACAACAACAACTATTGGTGCAACAATAACAACAACTTTGGAATCCACAAGTACCCTTCCAACATCCTCAACTGTAGCACCAACATCATTAACTGATGCAACAACTACAACTATGTATGACACCACAACAACTGTTGGTGCAACAACAACAACAACTTTGGCATCCACAAGTAACCCTCCGACATCCTCAACTGTGGCACCGACATCGACAACTGATGCAGGAACAACAACTATGTCTGACACAAAAACAACTGTTGGTGCAACAACAATTTTGGCATCCACAAGTAACCCTCCAACATCCTCAACTGTAGCACCAACGTCGACAACTGATGCAGTAACCACGTCTATGTCTGACACAACAACAACAACTGTTGGTGCAACAACATCAACAACTTTGGCATCCACAAGTAACCCTACAACATCCTCAACTGTAGCACCAACATCATCAACTGATGCAACAACTACAACTATGTATGACACCACAACAACTGTTGGTGCAACAACAACAACAACTTTGGCATCCACAAGTAACCCTCCAATATCCTCAACTGTAGCACCAACATCGACAACTGATGCAGTAACTACGTCTATGTCTGACACAACAACAACTGTTGGTGCAACAACAACAACATTGGCTACAACAAGCAGCCCTCAAACATATTCAACTTTATCACCAACTTTGACAACTGATGCAGGAACCACGTCTATGTCTGACACCACAACAACTGTTGGTGCAACAACAACAATAACTTTGGCATCCACAAGTACACTTCCAACATCATCAACTGTAGCACCAACATCATCAACTGATGCAGCAACTACAACTATGTATGACACCACAACAACTGTTGGTGCAACAACAACAATAACTTTGGCATCCACAAGTAACCCTCCGACATCCTCAACTGTGGCACCAACATCCACAACTGATGCAGGAACAACAACTATGTCTGAAGCAACAACAACTTTGGCATCCACAAGTAACCCTCTAACATCCTCAACTGTAGCACCAATGTCGACAACTGATTCAGGAACAACAACTATGTCCGACACAACAACAACTGTTGGTGCAACAACAACAACTTTGGCATCCACAAGTAACCCTCTGACATCCTCAACTGTAGCACCAACGTCGACCACTGATGCAGTAACCACGTCTATGTCTGACACAACAACAACTGTTGGTGCAACAATAACAACAACTTTGGCATCCACAAGTACCCTTCCAACATCCACAACTGTAGCACAAACTTCATCACCTGAAGCAGCAAATACAACTATGTATGACACCACATCAACTGTCGGTGCAACAACAACAACAACTTTGGCATCCACAAGTAACCCTCCAACATCCTCAACTGTAGCACCAACGTCGACAACTGATGCAGGAACAACCTCTATGTCTGACACCACAACAACACTTGGTGCAACAACAACAACAACTTTGGCATCCACTAGTAACCCTCCGACATCCTCATCTGTAGCACCGACATCAACAACTGATGCAGGAACAACAACTATGTCTGACACAAAAACAACTGTTGGTGCAACAACAACAACAACTTTGGCATCCACAAGTAACCCTCCAGCATTCTCAACTGTAGCACCAACGTCGACAACTGATGCAGGAACAACCTCTATGTCTGACACCACATCAACTGTCGGTGCAACAACAACAACAACTTTGGCATCCACAAGTACCCTTCCAACATCCTCAACTTTAGTACCAACATCATCAAATGATGCAGCAACTACAACCATGTATGACACCACAACAACTGTTGGTGAAACAACAGCAACTTTGGCATCCACAAGTAACCCTCCAGCATACTCAACTGTGGCACCGACATCGACAACTGATGCAGAAACAACAACTATGTCTGACACAAAAACAACTGTTGGTGCAACAACAACTTTGGCATCCACAAGTAACCATCCAACATCCTCAACTCTAGCACCAACATCATCAACTGATGCAACAACTACAACTATGTATGACACCAAAACAAATGTTGGTGCAACAACAACAACTTTGGCATCCACAAGTAACCCTCCAACATCCTCAACTGTAGCACCAATGTCGACAACTGATGCAGGAACAACAACTATGTCTGACACAAAAACAACTGTTGGTGCAACAACAACTACAACTGTGGCATCCACAAGTAACCCTACAAAATCATCAAATGTAGTACCAACATCATCAAATAATGTAGCAACTACAACTATGTATGACACCACAACAACTGTTGGTGCAACAACAACAACTTTGGCATCCACAAGTAACCCTCCAACATCCTCAACTGAAGCACCAACGTCGACAACTGATGCAGTAACCACGTCTATGTCTGACACAACAACAACAACTTTTGGTGCAACAACAACAACAACTTTGGCATCCACAAGTAACCCTCCAACATCCTCAACTGTAGCACCAATGTCGACAACTGATGCAGGAACAACCTCTATATCTGACACCACAACAACTATTGGTGCAACAATAACAACAACTTTGGCATCCACAAGTACCCTTCCAACATCCTCAACTTTAGCACCAACATCATCAACTGATGCAACAACTACAACTATGTATGACACCACAACAACTGTTGGTGCAACAACAACTTTGGCATCCACAAGTAACCCTCCAACATCCTCAACTGTAGCACCAACATCATCAACTGATGCAACAACTACAACTATGTCTGACACAAAAACAACTGTTGGTGCAACAACAACTTTGGCATCCACAAGTAACCCTCCAACATCCTCAACTGTAGCACCTAAGTCGACAACTGATGCAGTAACCACGTCTATGTCTGACACAACAACAACAACTGTTGGTGCAACAACAACAACAACTGTGGCATCCACAAGTAACCCTACAAAATCATCAAATGTAGTACCAACATCATCAAATAATGTAGCAACTAAAACTATGTATGACACCACAACAACTGTTGGTGCAACAACAACAACTTTGGCATCCACAAGTAACCCTCCAACATCCTCAACTGAAGCACCAACGTCGGCAACTGATGCAGTAACCACGTCTATGTCTGACACAACAACAACAACTGTTGGTGCAACAACAACAACAACTTTGGCATCCACAAGTATCCTTAAAACATCCTCAACTGTAGCACCAACGTCGACAACTGATGCAGGAACAACAACTATGTCTGACACAACAACAACTGTTGGTGCAACAACAACAACAACAACAACTTTGGCATCCACAAGTACCCTTCCAACATCCTCAACTGTAGTACCAACATCATCAAATGATGCAGCAACTACAACTATGTATGACACCACAACAACTATTGGTGCAACAACAACAACTTTTGCATCCACAAGTAACCCTCCAACATCCTCAACTATGGCACCGACATCGACAACTGATGCAGAAACAACAACTATGTCTGACACAAAAACAACTGTTGGTGCAACAACTTTGGCATCAACAAGTAACCCTCCCACATCCTCAATTGCAGCACCAACATCATCAACTGATGCAACAACTACAACTATGTATGACACCACAACAACTGTTGGTGCAACAACAACAACAACAACTTTGGCATCCACAAGTAACCCTCCAACATCCTCAACTGTAGCACCAACGTCGACCACTGATGCAGTAACCACGTCTATGTCTGACACAACAACAACTGTTGGTGCAACAATAACAACAACTTTGGCATCCACAAGTACCCTTCCAACATCCTCAACTGTAGCACCAACATCATCACCTGAAGCAGCAAATACAACTCTGTATGACACCACAACAACTGTCGGTGCAACAACAACAACAACAACTTTGGCATCCACAAGTAACCCTCCAATATCCTCAACTGTAGCACCAACGTCGACAACTGATGCAGGACCAACCTCTATGTCTGACACCACAACAACTATTGGTGCAACAATAACAACAACTTTGGCATCCACAAGTACCCTTCCAACATCCTCAACTGTAGCACCAACATCATCAACTGATGCAACAACTAAATTTATGTATGACACCACAACAACTCTTGGTGCAACAACAACAACAACTTTGGCATCCACAAGTAACCCTCCGACATCCTCAACTGTGGCACCAACATCATCACCTGAAGCAGCAACTACAACTATGTATGACACCACAACTACTGTCGGTGCAACAACAACAACAACAACAACTTTGGCATCCACAAGTAACCCTCCAACATCCTCAACTGTAGCACCAACGTCGACAACTGATGCAGGAACAACCTCTATTTCTGACACCACAACAACTGTTGGTGCAACAATAACAACAACTTTGGCATCCACAAGTAACCCTCCGACATCCTCAACTGTGGCACCGACATCGACAACTGATGCAGGAACAACAACTATGTCTGACACAACAACAACTGTTGGTGCAACAACAACAACAACAACTTTGGCATCCACAAGTAACCCTCCAGCATCCTCAACTGTAGCACCAACGTCGACAACTGATGAAGTAACCACGTCTATGTCTGAAACAACAACAACAACTGTTGGTGCAACAACAACAACAACTTTGGCATCCACAAGTAACCCTACAACATCCTCAACTGTAGTACCAAAATCATCAAATGATGCAGCAACTACAACTATGTATGACACCACAACAACTGTTGGTGCAACAACAACAACTTTGGCATCCACAAGTAACCCTCCAACATCCTCAACTGTGGCACCGACATCGGCAACTGATGCAGGAACAACAACTATGTCTGACACAAAAACAACTGTTGGTGCAACAACAACTTTGGCATCCACAAGTAACCCTCCAACATCCTCAACTGCAGCACCAACATCCTCAACTGATGCAACAACTACAACTATGTATGACACCACAACAACTGTTGGTGCAACAACAACAACTTTGGCATTCACAAGTAACCCTCTGACATCCTCAACTGTGGCACCAACATCGACAACTGATGCAGGAACAACAACTATGTCTGACACAACAACAACTGTTGGTGCAACAACAACAACAACAACTTTGGCATCCACAAGTAACCCGCCAACATCCTCAACTGTAGCACCAACATCGACAACTGATGCAGTAACCACGTCTATGTCTGACACAACAACAACTGTTGGTGCAACAACAACAACATTGGCTGCAACAAGCAGCCCTCAAACATATTCAACTTTATCACCAACTTTGACAACTGATGCAGGAACCACGTCTATGTCTGACACCACAACAACTGTTGGTGCAACAACAACAACTTTGGCATCCACAAGTACCCTTCCAACATCATCAACTGTAGCACCAACATCATCAACTGATGCAGCAACTACAACTATGTATGACACCACAACAACTGTTGGTGCAACAACAATAACTTTGGCATCCACAAGTAACCCTCCAACATCCTCAACTGTAGGACCAATGTCGACAACTGATGCAGGAACAACAACTATGTCTGACACAACAACAACTGTTGGTGCAACAACAACAACTTTGGCATCCACAAGTAACCCTCTAACATCCTCAACTGTAGCACCAACGTCGACCACTGATGCAGTAACCACGTCTATGTCTGACACAACAACAACTGTTGATGCAACAATAACAACAACTTTGGCATCCACAAGTACCCTTCCAACATCCTCAACTGTAGCACCAACATCATCAAATGATGCAGCAACTACAACTATGTATGACACCACAACAACTGTCGGTGCAACAACAACAACAACTTTGGCATCCACAAGTACCCTTCAAACATCCTCAACTGTACTACCAACATCATCAAATGATGCAGCAACTACAACTATGTATGACACCACTACAACTGTTGGTGCAACAACAACAACAACAACTTGGGCATCCACAAGTAACCCTCCGACATCCTCAACTGTGGCACCGACATCAACAACTGATGCAGGAACAACAACTATGTCTGACACAAAAACAACTGTTGGTGCAACAACAACTTTGGCATCCACAAGTAACCCTCCAACATCCTCAACTGAAGCACCAACATCGACAACTGATGCAGTAACCACGTCTATGTCTGACACAACAACAACAACTTTTGGTGCAACAACAACAACAACTTTGGCATCCACAAGTAACCCTCCAACATCCTCAACTGTAGCACCAACGTCGACAACTGATGCAGGAACAACCTCTATGTCTGACACCACAACAACTGTTGGTGCAACAATAACAACAACTTTGGCATCCACAAGTAACCCTCCGACATCCTCAACTGTGGCACCGACATCGACAACTGATGCAGGAACAACAACTATGTCTGACACAACAACAACTGTTGGTGCAACAACAACAACAACAACTTTGGCATCCACAAGTAACCCTCCAGCATCCTCAACTGTAGCACCAACGTCGACAACTGATGAAGTAACCACGTCTATGTCTGAAACAACAACAACAACTGTTGGTGCAACAACAACAACAACTTTGGCATCCACAAGTAACCCTACAACATCCTCAACTGTAGTACCAAAATCATCAAATGATGCAGCAACTACAACTATGTATGACACCACAACAACTGTTGGTGCAACAACAACAACTTTGGCATCCACAAGTAACCCTCCAACATCCTCAACTGTGGCACCGACATCGGCAACTGATGCAGGAACAACAACTATGTCTGACACAAAAACAACTGTTGGTGCAACAACAACTTTGGCATCCACAAGTAACCCTCCAACATCCTCAACTGCAGCACCAACATCCTCAACTGATGCAACAACTACAACTATGTATGACACCACAACAACTGTTGGTGCAACAACAACAACTTTGGCATTCACAAGTAACCCTCTGACATCCTCAACTGTGGCACCAACATCGACAACTGATGCAGGAACAACAACTATGTCTGACACAACAACAACTGTTGGTGCAACAACAACAACTTTGGCATCCACAAGTAACCCGCCAACATCCTCAACTGTAGCACCAACATCGACAACTGATGCAGTAACCACGTCTATGTCTGACACAACAACAACTGTTGGTGCAACAACAACAACATTGGCTGCAACAAGCAGCCCTCAAACATATTCAACTTTATCACCAACTTTGACAACTGATGCAGGAACCACGTCTATGTCTGACACCACAACAACTGTTGGTGCAACAACAACAACTTTGGCATCCACAAGTACCCTTCCAACATCATCAACTGTAGCACCAACATCATCAACTGATGCAGCAACTACAACTATGTATGACACCACAACAACTGTTGGTGCAACAACAACAACTTTGGCATCCACAAGTAACCCTCCAACATCCTCAACTGTAGGACCAATGTCGACAACTGATGCAGGAACAACAACTATGTCTGACACAACAACAACTGTTGGTGCAACAACAACAACTTTGGCATCCACAAGTAACCCTCTAACATCCTCAACTGTAGCACCAACATCATCAAATGATGCAGCAACTACAACTATGTATGACACCACAACAACTGTCGGTGCAACAACAACAACAACTTTGGCATCCACAAGTACCCTTCAAACATCCTCAACTGTACTACCAACATCATCAAATGATGCAGCAACTACAACTATGTATGACACCACTACAACTGTTGGTGCAACAACAACAACAACTTGGGCATCCACAAGTAACCCTCCGACATCCTCAACTGTGGCACCGACATCAACAACTGATGCAGGAACAACAACTATGTCTGACACAAAAACAACTGTTGGTGCAACAACAACTTTGGCATCCACAAGTAACCCTCCAACATCCTCAACTGAAGCACCAACATCGACAACTGATGCAGTAACCACGTCTATGTCTGACACAACAACAACAACTTTTGGTGCAACAACAACAACAACTTTGGCATCCACAAGTAACCCTCCAACATCCTCAACTGTAGCACCAACGTCGACAACTGATGCAGGAACAACCTCTATGTCTGACACCACAACAACTATTGGTGCAACAACAACAACAACTTTGGCATCCACAAGTACCCTTCCAACATCCTCAACTGTAGCACCAACATCATCAACTAATGCAACAACTACATTTATGTATGACACCACAACAACTGTTGGTGCAACAACAACAACAACTTTGGCATCCACAAGTAACCCTCCGACATCCTCAACTGAGGCACCGACATCGACAACTGATGCAGGAAAAACAACTATGTCTGACACAAAAACAACTGTTGGTGCAACAACAACTTTGGCATCCACAAGTAACCCTCCGACATCCTCAACTGTGGCACCGACATCGACAACTGATGCAGGAACAACAACTATGTCTGACACAAAAACAACTGTTGGTGCAACAACAAATTTGGCACCCACAAGTAACCCTCCAACATCCTCAACTGTAGCACCAACATCGACAACTGATGCAGTAACCACGTCTATGTCTGACACAACAACAACAACTGTTGGTGCAACAACAACAACTTTGGCATCCACAAGTACCCTTCCAACATCCTCAACTGTAGTACCAACATCACAAAATGATGCAGCAACTACAACTATGTATGACACCACAACAAATGTTGGTGAAACAACAACAACTTTGGCATCCACAAGTAACCCTCCAACATACTCAACTGTGGCACCGACATCGACAACTGATGCAGAAACAACAACTCTGTCTGACACAAAAACAACTGTTGGTGCAACAACAACAACTTTGGCATCCACAAGTAACCCTCCGACATCCTCAACTGTAGCACCAACATCATCAACTGATGCAACAACAACAACTATGTATGACACCACAACAACTGTTGGTGCAACAACAACAACTTTGGCATCCACAAGTAACCCTCCGACATCCTCAACTGTGGCACCAACATCGAAAACTGATGCAGGAACAACAACTATGTCTGACACAGCAACAACTGTTGTTGCAACACCAACAACATTGGCTACAACAAGCAGCCCTCAAACATATTCAACTTTATCACCAACTTTGACAACTGATGCAGGAACCACGTCTATGTCTGACACCACAACAACTGTTGGTGCAACAACAACAACTTTGGCATCCACAAGTAACCCTCTAACATCCTCAACTGTAGCACCAACGTCGACCACTGATGCAGTAACCACGTCTATGTCTGACACAACAACAACTGTTGGTGCAACAATAACAACAACTTTGGCATCCACAAGTACCCTTCCAACATCCTCAACTGTAGCACCAACATCATCACCTGAAGCAGCAACTACAACTATGTATGACACCACAACAACTGTCGGTGAAACAACAACAACAACAACAACTTTGGCATCCACAAGTAACCCTCCAACATCCTCAACTGTAGCACCAACGTCGACAACTGATGCAGGAACAACCTCTATGTCTGACACCACAACAACTATTGGTGCAACAATAACAACAACTTTGGCATCCACAAGTACCCTTCCAACATCCTCAACTGTAGCACCAACATCATCAACTGATGCAACAACTACAACTATGTATGACACCACAACAACTGTTGGTGCAACAACAACTTTGGCATCCACAAGTAAACCTCCAACATCCTCAACTGTAGCACCAACGTCATCAACTGATGCAACAACTACAACAATGTCTGACACAAAAACAACTGTTGGTGCAACAACAACTTTGGCATCCACAAGTAACCCTCCAACATCCTCAACTGTAGCACCAACGTCGACAACTGATGCAGTAACCACGTCTATGTCTGACACAACAACAACAACTTTGGCATCCACAAGTAACCCTACAACATCCTCAACTGTAGTACCAACATCATCAAATGATGCAGCAACTACAACTATGTATGACACCACAACAACTGTTGGTGCAACAACAACAACTTTGGCATCCACAAGTAACCCTCCAACATCCTCAACTGTGGCACCGACATCCGCAACTGATACAGGAACAACAACTATGTCTGACACAAAAACAACTGTTGGTGCAACAACAACTTTGGCATCCACAAGTAAACCTCCAACATCCTCAACTGTAGCACCAACATCCTCAACTGATGCAACAACTACAACTATGTATGACACCACAACAACTGTTGGTGCAACAACAACAACAACTTTGGCATCCACAAGTAACCCTCTGACATCCTCAACTGTGGCACCAACATCGACAACTGATGCAGGAACAACAACTATGTCTGACACAACAACAACTGTTGGTGCAACAACAACAACAACAACAACAACTTTGGCATCCACAAGTAACCCTCCAACATCCTCAACTGTAGCACCAACATCGACAACTGATGCAGTAACCACGTCTATGTCTGACACAACAACAACTGTTGGTGCAACAACAACAATATTGGCTACAACAAGCAGCCCTCAAACATATTCAACTTTATCACCAACTTTGACAACTGATGCAGGAACCAAGTCTATGTCTGACACCACAACAACTGTTGGTGCAACAACAACAACTTTGGCATCCACAAGTACCCTTCCAACATCATCAACTGTAGCACCAACATCATCAACTGATGCAGGAACAAAAAAAACTGTTGGTGCAACAACAACTTTGGCATCCACAAGTAACCCTCCAACATCCTCAACTGAAGCACCAACATCATCACCTGAAGCAGCAACTACAACTATGTATGACACCACAACAACTGTCGGTGCAACAACAACAACAACAACAACAACTTTGGCATCCACAAGTACCCTTCAAACATCCTCAACTGTAGTACCAACATCATCAAATGATGCAGCAACTACAACTATGTATGACACCACAACAACTGTTGGTGCAACAACACCAACAACTTTGGCATCCACAAGGAACCCTCCGACATCCTCAACTGAAGCACCAACGTCGACAACTGATGCAGGAACAACAACTATGTCTGACACAAAAACAACTGTTGGTGCAACAACAACTTTGGCATCCACAAGTAACCCTCCAACATCCTCAACTGAAGCACCAACGTCGACAACTGATGCAGTAACCACGTCTATGTCTGACACAACAACAAAAACTGTTGGTGCAACAACAACAACAACTTTGGCATCCACAAGTAACCCTACAACATCCTCAACTGTAGCACCAACGTCGACAACTGATGCAGGAACAACAACTATGTCTGACACAACAACAACTGTTGGTGCAACAACAACAACAACAACAACTTTGGCATCCACAAGTACCCTTCCAACATCCTCAATTGTAGTACCAACATCATCAAATGATGCAGCAAATACAACTATGTATGACACCACAACAACTGTTGGTGCAACAACAACAACTTTGGCATCCACAAGTAACCCTCCAACATCCTTAACTGTGGCACCGACATCGACAACTGATGCAGGAACAACAACTATGTCTGACACAAAAACAACTGTTGGTACAACAACAACTTTGGCATCCACAAGTAACCCTCCAACATCATCAACTGTAGCACCAACATCATCAACTGATGCAACAACTACAACTATGCATGACACCACAAAAACTGTTGGTGCAACAACAACAACTTTGGGATCGACAAGTAACCCTCTGACATCCTCAACTGTGGCACCAACATCGACAACTGATGCAGGAACAACAACTATGTCTGACACAACAACAACTGTTGGTGCAACAACAACAACAACAACTTTGGCATCCACAAGTAACCCTCCAACATCCTCAACTGTAGCACCAACATCGACAACTGATGCAGTAACCACGTCTATGTCTGACACAACAACAACTGTTGGTGCAACAACAACAACATTGGCTACAACAAGCAGCCCTCAAACATATTCAACTTTATCACCAACTTTGACAACTGATGCAGGAACCACGTCTATGTCTGACAACACAACAACTGTTGGTGCAACAACAACAACTTTGGCATCCACAAGTAACCCTCTAACATCCTCAACTGTAGCACCAACGTCGACCACTGATGCAGTAACCACGTCTATGTCTGACACAACAACAACTGTTGGTGCAACAATAACAACTTTGGCATCCACAAGTACCCTTCCAACATCCTCAACTGTAGCACCAACATCATCACCTGAAGCAGCAACTACAACTATGTATGACACCACAACAACTGTCGGTGCAACAACAACAACAACAACAACAACAACAACAACAACAACTTTGGCATCCACAAGTAACCCTCCAACATCCTCAACTGTAGCACCAACGTCGACAACTGATGCAGGAACAACCTCTATGTCTGACACCACAACAACTATTGGTGCAACAATAACAACAACTTTGGCATCCACAAGTACCCTTCCAACATCCTCAACTGTAGCGCCAACATCATCAACTGATGCAACAACTACAACTATGTATGACACCACAACAACTGTTGGTGCAACAACAACAACAACTTTGGCATCCACAAGTAACCCTCCGACATCCTCAACTGTGGCACCGACATCGACAACTGATGCAGGAACAACAACTATGTCTGACACAAAAACAACTGTTGGTGCAACAACAAATTTGGCACCCACAAGTAACCCTCCAACATCCTCAACTGTAGCACCAACGTCGACAACTGATGCAGTAACAACGTCTATGTCTGACACAACAACAACAACTGTTGGTGCAACAACAACAACAACTTTGGCATCCACAAGTACCCTTCCAACATCCTTAACTGTAGTACCAACATCATCAAATGATGCAGCAACTACAACTATGCATGACACCACAACAACTGTTGGTGCAACAACAACAACTTTGGCATCCACAAGTAACCCTCCAACATCCTCAACTGTAGCACCAACGTCGACAACTGATGCAGTAACCACGTCTATGTCTGACACAACAACAACTGTTGGTGCAACAACAACAAAAACTTTGGCATCCACAAGTAACCCTACAACATCCTCAACTGTAGCACCAACGTCGACAACTGATGCAGGAACCACGTCTATGTCTGACACAACAACAACAACTGTTGGTGCAACAACAACAACAACAAATTTGGCACCCACAAGTAACCCTCCAACATCCTCAACTGTAGCACCAACGTCGACAACTGATGCAGTAACCACGTCTATGTCTGACACAACAACAACAACTGTTGGTGCAACAACAACAACAACTTTGGCATCCACAAGTACCCTTCCAACATCCTTAACTGTAGTACCAACATCATCAAATGATGCAGCAACTACAACTATGCATGACACCACAACAACTGTTGGTGCAACAACAACAACTTTGGCATCCACAAGTAACCCTCCAACATCCTCAACTGTAGCACCAACGTCGACAACTGATGCAGTAACCACGTCTATGTCTGACACAACAACAACTGTTGGTGCAACAACAACAACAACTTTGGCATCCACAAGTAACCCTACAACATCCTCAACTGTAGCACCAACGTCGACAACTGATGCAGGAACCACGTCTATGTCTGACACAACAACAACAACTGTTGGTGCAACAACAACAACAACAACTTTGGCATGCACAAGTACCCTTCCAACATCCTCAACTGTAGTACCAACATCATCAAACGATGCAGCAACTACAACTATGTATGACACCACAACAACTGTTGGTGCAACAACAACAACTTTGGCATCCACAAGTAACCCTCTAATATCCTCAACTGTGGCACCGACATCGACAACTGATGCAGGAACAACAACTATGTCTGACACAAAAACAACTGTTGGTGCAACAACAACTTTGGCATCCACAAGTAACCCTCCAACATCCTCAACTGTAGCACCAACGTCGACAACTGATGCAGTAACCACGTCTATGTCTGACACAACAACAACTGTTGGTGCTACAACAACAACAACTTTGGCATCCACAAGTGACCCTACAACATCCTCAACTGTAGCACCAACGTCGACAACTGATGCAGGGACAACAACTATGTCTGACACAACAACAACTGTTGGTGCAACAACAACAACAACAACAACAACAACTTTGGCATCCACAAGTACCCTTCCAACATCCTCAACTGTAGTACCAACATCATCAAATGATGCAGCAACTACAACTATGTATGACACCACAACAACTGTTGGTGTAACAACAACAACTTTGGCATCCACAAGTAGCCCTCCAACATCCTCAACTGTAGCACCAACGTCGAAAACTGATGCAGGAACCACGTCTATGTCTGACACAACAACAACTGTTGGTGCAACAACAACAACAACATTGGCATCCACAAGGAACCCTACAACATCCTCAACTGTAGCACCAACGTCGACAACTGATGCAGTAACCACGTCTATGTCTGACACAACAACAACTGTTGGTGCAACAACAACAACAACTTTGGCATCCACAAGTACCCTTCCAACATCGTCAACTGTAGTACCAACATCATCAAATGATGCAGCAACTACAACTATGTATGACACCACAACAACTGTTGGTGCAACAACAACAACTTTGGAATCCCCAAGTAACCCTACAACATCCTCAACTGTAGCACCAACGTCGACAACTGATGCAGGAACAACAACTATGTCTGACACAACAACAAGTGTTGGTGCAACAACAACAACAACTTTGGCATCCACAAGGAACCCTACAACATCCTCAACTGTAGCACCAACGTCGACAACTGATGCAGTAACCACGTCTATGTCTGACACAACAATAACTGTTGGTACAACAACAACAACAACTTTGGCATCCACAAGTAGCCCTACAACATCCTCAACTGAAGCACCAACGTCGACAACTGATGCAGGAATAACAACTATTTCTGACACAACAACAAATGTTGGTGTAACAACAACAACAACAACTTTGGCATCCACAAGTAACCCTCCAACATCCTCAACTGTAGCACCAACGTCGACAACTGATGCTGGAACAACAACTATGTCTGACACAACAACAACTGTTGGTGCAACAACAACAACAACTTTGGCATCCACAAGTAACCTTCCAACATCCTCAACTGTAGCACCAACGTCGACAACTGATGCAGGAACCACGTCTATGTCTGAAACCACAACAACTGTTGGTGCAAAAATAACAACAACTTTGGCATCCACAAGTACCCTTCCAACATCCTCAACTGTAGCACCAACATCATCAAATGATGCAGCAACTTTAACTATGTATGACACCACAACAACTGTTGGTGCAACAACAACAACTTTGGCATCCACAAGTAACCCTCCAACATCCTCAACTGTAGCACCAACGTCGACAACTGATGCAGGAACCACGTCTATGTCTGACACCACAGCAACTGTTGGTGCAACAACAACAACAACATTGGCATCCACAAGTAACCCTACAACATCCTCAAGTGTAGCACCAACGTCGACAACTGATGCAGCAACTATAACTATGTATGACACCACAACAACTGTTGGTGCAACAACAACAACTTTGGCATCCACAAGTACCCTTCCAACATCATCAACTGTAGCACCAACATCATCAACTGATGCAGCAACTACAACTATGTATGACACCACAACAACTGTCGGTACAACAACAACAACAACAGCTTTGGCATCCACAAGTAACCCTCCAACATCCTCAACTGTAGCACCAACGTCGACAACTGATGCAGGAACCACATCTATGTCTGACACCAAAACAACTGTTGGTGCAACAATAACAACAACTTTGGCATCCACAAGTACCCTTCCAACATCCTCAACTGTAGCACCAACATCATCAACTGATGCAGCAACTACAACTATGTATGACACCACAACAACTGTTGGTGCTACAACAACAACAACAACAACTTTGTCATCCACAAGTAACCCTCCAACATCCTCAACTGTAGCACCAAAGTCCACAACTGATGCAGGAACAACAATTATGTCTGACACAACAACAACTGTTGGTACAACATCAAAAACAACTTTGGCATCCACAAGTAACCCTCCAATATCCTCAACTGTAGCACCAACATCGACAACTGATGCAGGAACCAAGTCTATGTCTGACACAACAACAACTGTTGGTGCAACAACAACAAAAACTTTGGCATCCACAAGTAACCCTACAACATCCACAACTTTAGCACCAACGACGAAAACTGATGCTGGAACCACATCTATGTCTGACACCACAACAACTGTTGGTGCAACAATAACAACAACTTTGGCATCCACAGGTACCCTTCCAACATCATCAACTGTAGTACCAACATCATCAAATGATGCAGCAACTACAACTATATATGACACCACAACAACTGTCGGGATAACAACAACAACAACAACAACTTTGGAATCCACAAGTAACACTCCAACATCCTCAACTGTAGCACCAACAACGACAACTGTTGCAGGAACAACAACTATGTCTGACACAACAACAACTGGTGGTGCAACAACAACAACATTGGTTACAACAAGCAGCCCTCCAACATCCTCAACTGTAGCACCAACGTCGACAACTGATGCAGTAACCACGTCTATGTCGGACACCACAACAACTGTTGGTGCAACAATAACAAAACCTTTAGCATCCACAAGAATCCTTCCAACATCCTCAACTGTGGCACCAACGTCGAAAACTGATGCAGGAACAACAACTATGTCTGACACAACAACAACAACAACTGTTGGTGCAACAACAACAACAACAACTTTGGCATCCAAGGTTAACCCTCCGACATCCTCAACTGTGGCATCGACGTCGACAACTGATGCAGGAACAACAACTATGTCTGACACAACAACAACTGTTGGTGCGACAACAACAACAACTTTGGCATCTACAAGTAACCCTCCAACATCCTCAACTGTAGCACCAACGTCGACAACTGATGCAGTAACCACGTCTATGTCTGACACAACAAGAATTGTTGGTGCAACAACAACAACAACTTTGGCATCCACAAGTAACCCTACAACATCCTTAACTGTAGCACCAACATCATCAACTGATGCAGCACCTACAACTATGTATGACACAACAACAACTGTCGGTGCAACAACAACAACAACAACTTTGGAATCCACAAGTAACCCTCAAACATCCTCAACTGTAGCACCAACATTGACAACTGATGCAGGAACCACAACTATGTCTGACACCACAACGACTGTTGGTGAAACAACAACAACAGTGGCTACAGCAAGCAGCCCTCAAACATCTTCAATTTTATCACCAACTTTGACAACTGATGCAGGAACCACGTCTATGTCTGACAACACAAGAACTGTTAGTGCAACAATAACAACAACTTTGGCATCCACAAGTAACCCTCCAACATCCGCAACTGTAGCACCAACGTCGACAACTGATGCAGGAACAACAACTATGTCTGACACAACAACAACTGTTGGTGCAACAACAACTTTGGCATCCACAAGTTACCCTCCGACTTTCTCAACTGTAGCACCGACGTCGACAACTGATGCAGGAACAACAACTATGTCTGACACAAAAACAACTGTTGGTGCAACAACAACAACAGCAACTTTGGCATCCACAAGTAACCCTACAACATCCTCAACTGTAGCATCAACGTCGACAACTGATGCAGGAACAACAACAACTATATCTGACACAACAACAACTGTTGGTGCAACAACAACAACTTTGGCATCCACAAGTAACCCTCCAACATCCTCAACTGTAGCACCAACGTCGACAACTGATGCAGGAACAATAACTATGTCTGACACAACAACATCTGTTGGTGCAACAACAACAACAACAACAACTTTGGCATCCGCAAGTAACCCTCCAACATCCTCAACTGTAGCACCAACGTCGACAACTGATGCAGGAACAATAACTATGTCTGACACAACAACATCTGTTGGTGCAACAACAACAACAACTTTGGCATCCACTAGTAACCCTCCTACATTCTCAACTGTAGCACCAACGTCGACAACTGATGCAGCAACCACGTCTATGTCTGACACAACAACAACTGCTGGTGCAACAACAACAACAACTTTGGCATCCACTAGTAACCCTCCAACATCCTCAACTATAGCACCAACGTCGACAACTGATGCAGTAACAACGTCTATGTCTGACACAACAACAACAACTGTTGGTGCAACAACAACAACTTTGGCATCCACAAGTAACCATACAACATCCTCAACTGTAGCACCAACGTCGACAACTGATGCAGGAATCACGTCTATGTCTTACACAACAACAACTGTTGGTGCAACAACAACAACAACTTTGGCATCCACAAGTACCCTTCCAACATCCTCAACTGTAGCACCAATGTTGACAACTGATGCAGGAACAACAACTATGTCTGACACAACAACAACTGTTGGTGCGACAACAACAACAACTTTGGCATCCACAATTAACCCTACAACATCCTCAACTGTAGCACCAATGTCGACAACTGATGCAGGAACCACATCTATGTCTGATACCACAACAACTGTTGGTGCAACAATAACAGCAAGTTTAACATCCACAAGTACCCTTCCAACATCCTCAACTGTAGCACCAACATCATCAACTGATGCAGGAACCACAACTATGTCTGACACCACAACAACTGTTGGTGCAACAACAACAACAACTTTGGCATCCACAAGTAACCCTACAAAATCCTCAACTGTAGCACCAACGTTCACAACTGATGCAGGAAACACATCTATGTCTGATACCACAACAACTGTTGGTGCAACAATAAAAGCAAGTTTGGCATCCACAAGTACCCTTCCAACATCCTCAACTGATGCAGGAACCACAACTATGTCTGACACCACAACAACTGTCGGTGCAACAACAACAACAACATCTTTGGAATCCACAAGTAACCCTCCAACATCCTCAACTGTAGCACCAACAACGACAACTGCTGCAGCAACAACAACTTTGTCTGACACAACAACAACTGTTGGTGCAACAACAACAACAACTTTGGCAAACACAAGTAACCCTCCAACATCCTCAACTGAAGCACCAACGTTGACAACTGATGCAGTAACCACATCTATGTCTGACACAACAACAACAAAAACTTTGGCATTCACAAGTAACCCTACAACATCCTCAACTGTAGCACCAAGGTCGACAACTGATGCAGGAACAACAACTATATCTGACACAGCAACAACTGTTGGTGCAACAACAACAACTTTGGCATCCACAAGTAACCCTACAACATCCTCAACTGTAGCACCAACGTCGAAAACTGATGCAGAAACCATATCTTTGTCTGACACAACAACAACTGTTGGTGCAACAACTACAACAACTTTGGCATCCACAAGTAACCCTCTGACATCCTCAACTGTGGCACCGACGTCGACAACTGATGCAGGAACAATAACTATGTCTGACACAAAAACAACTGTTGGTGCAACAACAACAACAACTTTGGCCTCCACAAGTAACCCTCCAACATCCTCAACTGTAGTACCAACGTCGACAACTGATGCAGGAACAACAACTATGTCTGACACAACAACAACTGTTAGTGCAACAACAACAACAACAACAACAACAACAACTTTGGCATCCACCAGTAACCCTACAACATCCTCAACTGTTGCACCAACGTCGAAAACCGATGCAGAAACCACATCTTTGTCTGACACTACAACAACTGTTGGTGCAACAACAACTTTGGAATCCACAAGTAACCCTCCAACATCCTCAACTGTAGCACCAACGTCGACACCTGATGCAGTAATCACGTCTATTTCTGACACAACAACAACTGTTGGTGCAACAATAACAAAAACTTTGGCATCCACAAGTACCCTTCCAACATTCTCAACTGTAGCACCATCATCATCAACTGATGCACCATCATCATCAACTGATGCAACAACTACAACTATGTATGAAACCACAACAACTGTTGGTGCAACAACTACAACAACTTTGGCATCCACAAGTAACCCTCTGACATCCTCAACTGTGGCACCGACGTCGACAACTGATGCAGGAACAATAACTATGTCTGACACAAAAACAACTGTTGGTGCAACAATAACAGCAAGTTTGGCATCCACAAGTACCCTTCCAACATCCTCAACTGATGCAGGAACCACAACTATGTCTGACACCACAACAACTGTCGGTGCAACAACAACAACAACATCTTTGGAATCCACAAGTAACCCTCCAACATCCTCAACTGTAGCACCAACAACGACAACTGCTGCAGCAACAACAACTTTGTCTGACACAACAACAACTGTTGGTGGAACAACAACAACTTTGGAATCCACAAGTAACCCTACAACATCCTCAACTTTCTCACCAACGTCGAAAACTGATGCAGGAACCAAATCTATGTCTGACACCACAACAACGATTGGTGCAACAATAACAACAAGTTTGGCATCCACAAGTACCCTTCCAACATCCTCAACTGTAGCACCAACATCATCAACTGATACAGGAACCACAACTATGTCTGACACCACAACAACTGTTGGTGCAACAACAACCACAACAACAACATCTTTGGAATCCACAAGTAACCCTCCAACATCCTCAACTGTAAACCCAACAATGACAACTGATGCAGGAACAACAACTATGTCTGACACAACAACAACTATTGGTGCAACAACAACAACATTGGTTACAACAAGCAGCCCTCCAACATCCTCAACTGTAGCACCAACGTGGACAACTGATGCAGTAACCAAGTCTATGTCTGACACAACAACAACTGTTGGTGCAACAATAACAAAACATTTGGCATCCACAAGTATCCTTCCAACATCCTCAACTGTAGCACCAAAGTCGACAACTGATGCAGGAACCACGTCTATGTCTGAAACCAAAACAACTGTTGGTGCAACAATAAGAAAACCTTTAGCATCCACAAGTACCCTTCCAACATCCTCAACTGTGGCACCAAGGTCGACAACTGATGCAGGAACAACAACTATGTCTGACACAACAACAACTATTGGTGCAACAACAACAACATTGGTTACAACAAGCAGCCCTCCAACATCCTCAACTGTAGCACCAACGTGGACAACTGATGCAGTAACCAAGTCTATGTCTGACACAACAACAACTGTTGGTGCAACAATAACAAAACATTTGGCATCCACAAGTATCCTTCCAACATCCTCAACTGTAGCACCAAAGTCGACAACTGATGCAGGAACCACGTCTATGTCTGAAACCAAAACAACTGTTGGTGCAACAATAAGAAAACCTTTAGCATCCACAAGTACCCTTCCAACATCCTCAACTGTGGCACCAAGGTCGACAACTGATACAGGAACAACAACTATGTCTGACACAACAACAACTGTTGGTGCAACAACAACAACAACTTTGGCATCCACAAGTAACCCTCCAACACCCTCAACTGTGGCACCGACGTCGACAACTGATGCAGGAACCACGTCTATGTCTGACACAACAACAACTGTTGTTGCAACAACAACAACAACTTTGGCAAACACAAGTAACCCTACAACATCCTCAACTGTAGCACCAACATCATCAACTGATGCAGCAACTACAACTATGTATGACACCACAACAACAACAACAACTTTGGAATCAACAAGTAACCCTCCGACATCCTCAACCGTAGCACCAACAACGACAAGTGATGCAGGAACAACAACTATGTCTGACACAACAACAACTGTTGGTGCAACAACAACAACAACTTTGGCATCCACCAGTAACCCTACAACATCCTCAACTGTAGCACCAACGTCGAAAACTGATGCAGAAACCACATCTTTGTCTGACACTACAACAACTGTTGGTGCAACAACAACAACAACTTTGGAATCCACAAGTAACACTCCAACATCCTCAACTGTAGCACCAACGTCGACACCTGATGCAGTAACCACGTCTATGTCTGACACAACAACAACTGTTGGTGCAACAACAACAACAACTTTGGCAAACACAAGTAACCCTCCAACATCCTCAACTGAAGCACCAACGTTGACAACTGATGCAGTAACCACATCTATGTCTGACACAACAACAACAAAAACTTTGGCATTCACAAGTAACCCTACAACATCCTCAACTGTAGCACCAAGGTCGACAACTGATGCAGGAACAACAACTATATCTGACACAGCAACAACTGTTGGTGCAACAACAACAACTTTGGCATCCACAAGTAACCCTACAACATCCTCAACTGTAGCACCAACGTCGAAAACTGATGCAGAAACCATATCTTTGTCTGACACAACAACAACTGTTGGTGCAACAACTACAACAACTTTGGCATCCACAAGTAACCCTCTGACATCCTCAACTGTGGCACCGACGTCGACAACTGATGCAGGAACAATAACTATGTCTGACACAAAAACAACTGTTGGTGCAACAACAACAACAACTTTGGCCTCCACAAGTAACCCTCCAAAATCCTCAACTGTAGTACCAACGTCGACAACTGATGTAGGAACAACAACTATGTCTGACACAACAACAACTGTTAGTGCAACAACAACAACAACAACAACAACAACTTTGGCATCCACCAGTAACCCTACAACATCCTCAACTGTTGCACCAACGTCGAAAACCGATGCAGAAACCACATCTTTGTCTGACACTACAACAACTGTTGGTGCAACAACAACAACAACTTTGGAATCCACAAGTAACCCTCCAACATCCTCAACTGTAGCACCAACGTCGACACCTGATGCAGTAACCACGTCTATTTCTGACACAACAACAAGTGTTGGTGCAACAATAACAAAAACTTTGGCATCCACAAGTACCCTTCCAACATTCTCAACTGTAGCACCATCATCATCAACTGATGCACCATCATCATCAACTGATGCAACAACTACAACTATGTATGAAACCACAACAACTGTTGGTGCAACAACTACAACAACTTTGGCATCCACAAGTAACCCTCTGACATCCTCAACTGTGGCACCGACGTCGACAACTGATGCAGGAACAATAACTATGTCTGACACAAAAACAACTGTTGGTGCAACAACAACAACAACAACTTTGGCATCCACAAGTAACCCTCCAACATCCTCAACTGAAGCACCAACGTCGACAACTGATTCAGGAACCACGTCTATTTCTGACACAACAACAACTGTTGGTGCAACAACAACAACAACTTTGGCATCCACAAGTAACCCTCCAACATCCTCAACTGAAGCACCAACGTTGACAACCGATGCAGTAACCACATCTATGTCTGACACAACAACAACAAAAACTTTGGCATTCACAAGTAACCCTACAACATCCTCAACTGTAGCACCAAGGTCGACAACTGATGCAGGAACAACAACTATATCTGACACAGCAACAACTGTTGGTGCAACAACAACAACTTTGGCATCCACAAGTAACCCTACAACATCCTCAACTGTAGCACCAACGTCGAAAACTGATGCAGAAACCATATCTTTGTCTGACACAGCAACAACTGTTGGTGCAACAACAACAACTTTGGCATCCACAAGTAACCCTCCAACATCCTCAACTGTAGCACCAACGTCGACAACTGATGCACCATCATCATCAACTGATGCAACAACTACAACTATATATGACACCACAACAACTGTTGGTGCAACAACAACAACAACTTTGGCATCCACAAGTAACCCTACAACATCCTCAACTGTAGCACCAACGTCGACAACTGATGCAGGAACCACGCCTATTTCTGACACAACAACAACTGTTGGTGCAACAAGAACAACAACAACAACTTTGGCATCCACAAGTAACCCTACAACATCCTCAACTGTAGCACCAACGTCGAAAACTGATGCAGAAACCACATCTATGTCTGACAACATAACAACTGTTGGTGCAACATTAACCACAATTTTGGCATCCAAAAGTCCCCTTTCAACATCCTCAACTGTAGCACCAACGTCGACAACTGATGCAGTAACCACATCTATGTCTGACACAACAACTGTTGGTGCAACAACAACAACAACTTTGGAATCCACAAGTAACCCTACAACATCCTCAATTGTAGCACCAACGTCGATAACTGATGCAGGAACCACGTCTATGTCTGACACAACAACAACTGTTGGTGCAACAACAACAACAACAACTTTGGCACCCACAAGTAACCCTACAACATCCTCAACTGTAGCACTAACATCATCAACTGATGCAGCAACTACAACTATTTATGACATCACAATAACTGACGGTGCAACAACAACAACGACAACAACAACTTTGGAATCCACAAGTAACCCTCAAACATCCTCAACTGTAGCACCAACGTTGACAACTGATGCAGGAACAACAACTATGTCTGACACCACAACGACTGTTGGTGAAACAACAACAACATTGGCTAAAACAAGCAGCCCTCAAACATCTTCGACTTTATCACCAACTTTGATAACTGATGCAGGAACCACGTCTATGTCTGACACCACAACAACTGTTGGTGCAACAACAACAACAACAACAACAACAACAACTTTGGCATCAACGAGTAACCCTACAACATCCTCAATTGTAGCACCAACGTCGAAAACTGATGCAGGAACAACATCCATGTCTGACACCATAACAAATGTTCTTGCAACATTAACCACAACTTTGGCATCCACAAGTACCCTTCCAACATCCTCAACTGTAGCACGAACGATGACAACTGATGCAGTAACCACGTCTATGTCTGACACAACAACAACTGTTGGTGCAACAAGAACAACAACAACTTTGGCATCCAAAAGTAACCCTACAACATCCTCAATTGTAGCACCAACATCGAAAACTGATGCAGGAACCACATCTATGTCTGACAACATAACAACTGTTGGTGCAACATTAACCACAACTTTGGCATCCAAAAGTACCCTTCCAACATCCTCAACTGTAGCACCAACATCATCAACTGAAGCAGCAACTACAACCATGTATGACACCAAAACAACTGTTGGTGCAACAATAACAAAACCTTTCGCATCCACAAGTACCCTTCCAACATCCTCAACTGTATCACCAACATCATCAACTGATGCAACAACTACAACTATGTATGACACCACAACAACTGTTGGTGCAACAACAACAACAACTTTGGAATCCACAAGTAACCCTACAACATCCTCAACTGTAGCACCAACGTCGACAACTGATGCAGTAACCACGTCTATGTCTGACACAACAACAACTGTTGGTGCAACAAGAACAACAACAACTTTGGCATCCACAAGTAACCCTACATCATCCTCAATTGTAGCACCAACGTCGAAAACTGATGCAGGAACCACATCTATGTCTGACAACATAACAACTGTTGGTGCAACATTAACCACAACTTTGGCATCCAAAAGTACCGTTCCAACATCCTCAACTGTAGCACCAACATCATCAACTGAAGCAGCAACTACAACTATGTATGACACCAAAACAACTGTTGGTGCAACAATGACAAAACCTTTCGCATCCACAAGTACCCTTCCAACATCCTCAACTGTATCACCAACATCATCAACTGATGCAACAACTACAACTATGTATGACACCACAACAACTGTTGGTGCAACAACAACAACAACTTTGGAATCCACAAGTAACCCTTCAACATTCTCACCTGTAGTACCAACGTCGACAACTGATGCAGGAACCACATCTATGTCTGACACAACAACAACTGTTGGTGCAACAACAA